TTTCTGGGAGTCAAATGGGATGAACGTATATTCGATAAAAATTTACTTGTTGATACTGCACGTGAAGGAAGACGATGAATAGCCCGCGAAATCAGACTTTAGGCCATCCTGTCCTTCTCCCACAGCACTCACGGTCGCGCTAAATGCGAGTAGCAAAAACAGTGTAATACCTATAATTTGGGCGGCCATTTGCCCCATCGAAATCGGCTGCAATCCGGATGAATTATATACCAAAATAAAGGAAATTTTTCGCTTTATTCGAATTTTGCGGTACAAATGTGATCAGAGCATGTGCAAAAGTGCGCGGGCTCATTCTTTTGCGCCAACCGTGACAGGAGCTCGAAATCTCCTATAAACATTGCGTAATTCAATTTCAAAAATTCGATTTTGCCCCATTGAAATTTATCGCTATGACATATGAAGCCATCTTCTGATGCAGCTTAAATGTTCTTTTTTTTTAATTCAAAGGTACAAATTGTCCCCATGCAAAATGTTCAAAATTGTGCGTGTTTTTGCATGACCTTGAGTCAGACATTAGTGGGGGCGTGACCACCGGAACTTGATATAACCTTTTCTTACACTGAGTTTGATATGGATCGTGTTTGTTCCATGTTTGGTTAGTTGCACTGAGCAATTCCCTCTTACAGTTGTGATTAATTTTCAGAAGAAACAAATGCGAGCGTTACGCGAATTCTTGAGGGGCAGAGGAGTTTTGGTCAATTCAAAAACACTGGATACGGGAGAGAACGCTACAGCTTGGGTAATTACGAGGACTAACTGCCGATTTTGTGGTATTTGCCGTTGATCAAAACATTTTTCTCAATCTTTTTTCTAACGCTGTAACTAAAAACCTAAATGTTTTTGGAATTTAACGAACTGGTAGTCTTCCAGTTCCTTCTTAGGCCCGTTCCAAACGCCGCTCCATTCATGCGCCGAACCTAACTGATGAGTTAAGTACGGCAGAAGAGCGGCGTTTGAATCAGTTTGGTTCGGCAGGTTAGGTTTGGTGATGCAAACGACATTAAATTCGGCAGGGTCTGTCGCACTATGCGACGTTGGAGCGGCAGCTGATTCATACGGCGTTCTCCTCACGGTGTCGAACCTAATGCATAAATTACTGTAATGTATTTTTCAAATAACGGGACTAGTGATTGGCTCAAAATTGTGTGGCGTGACCAGTCATGCATGAAGCTCGAAGTCGTCGCTAAAAACAAAGACAACAAAATACCAGTATGCCTTTGATTTATTAGAAACTGGACTGTATAAGCGAGTTTCTTTAGTGAAAATTCATTTTTTGCTCTTTTTTCGTGATAATAGTCCAGCTTATGAGATTTCCCTTTAACAAGTCGAATTGACCGGGAGAAAACCTGTCTAATTAAATATAGATACAAACACTGAACCTTGAGTTTGAATTTGCTTCCCTAAATTTTGCCATAAAAGCGAAATGTTAGTCACAGCTTTTCTATTTGGACAGAGTTCTTCAATTCAGAAGGCATGTTTTCCCGTCGCAAATTGTTACCCCTGGCTTTCCGAATTAAGTTCGACGCAAGTACGCGGTCTGAACCAGCCGTCGCTCTAAAGTCGCTCTAAAGTCAAACTTAATCAAGTTTGGTTCGGCGCATGAGTGGAGCGGCGTTTGGACCGCCTAACTAAAGCTCGAAAAGTTTTCCGAGTGTTCCTACTCACTCGGCCGTCGTTAAAAGCAGGAACATGGAAAATTCCGGAACATTCCGGAACATCCAAAAACTAGAATAATTATGAGAAAATATATATAATTAGGGCGTCAATAAAACCAGGAACATGGAACATCCCGGAACATTCCGGAACATCCCGGAACATCGAATAATTATAATAATTATGAGAAATATATGCAAAAATTAAATTTTCAGAAATAAAATATCCGAGATAAACTGATATCAGCTCGAAATATGAAAAGATATTTT